CAACTTAATCGTCCGTATGGTTATTCATCTGGTCATGAAACTTCACCTCAAGTAACTAGAAATCGGGAAGAAAAATCCAAAGAAATCAATAAACAAACTTCATCCGAGTTCACTAAAAGAATTCGTCAAGATTTGGTTACTGATTTACCACCAATGAAACAAGAACAACTTAATCGTCCGTATGGTTATTCATCTGGTCATGAAACTTCACCTCAAGTAACTAGAAATCGGGAAGAAAAATCTAAAGAAATCAATAAACAAACTTCATTCGAGTTCACTAAAGGAATTCGTCAAGATTTGGTTACTGATTTACCACCAATGAAACAAGAACAACTTAATCGTCCTTATGATTATTCATCTGGTCATGAAACTTCACCTCAAGTAACTAGAAATCGGGAAGAAAAATCTAAAGAAATCAATAAACAAACTTCATCCGAGTTCACTAGAAGAATTCGTCAAGATTTGGTTACTGATTTGCCACCAATGAAACAAGATTCATATAGTTATGATACTTTACCTCAAGTGACTAGAAATCGGGAAGAAAAATCTAAAGGACTCAATAATCAGGTCTCATCCGAGTCCACAAAAAATAATTCTAAAAAAAATGTTAACGAACATCAACGTGTTGCTACTAATTCCGATGTTAACAATAATCGATTCAACGATCATCAAGATTTAGTTGCTGATCCTTTGCGACCAATAAAAGGAGAGCAATTTGGTCGTCCACATGATGGTCCTGACACTTCACCTCAAGTAACTAGAAATCGGGAAGAAGAATCTAAAGAAAATAATCAGATTCCACCTGAGTCTACAAAAAATAATTCTAAAAGAAGTGTTAACGAACCTCCACGTGTTGCTACTAATTCTAATGTTAACAATAATCGGTTTAACGATCATCAAGATTTAGTTGCTGATAGTGTGTCGAAAATGGAACAAGAGCAAAGTCATGATATTACGGTATCTTTTCATGTTCATATGCCATCAAGTTTGAAAGGGGATAGCCAAATTACTGTATTCGGAAATATCCCTGAGTTGGGAGAATGGGAAAGACCATGCGTTGCTTTCCGTTATTATGGCGTTGACTATTGGATTTCAGAGCCTATCAAAATTTCAATGTCTTCAATTGAGAAAGTTGAAAACATCTGTTATAAATATGCTATATTGAAGACGCGTACGTCCTTTTGGGGAAAAAAAGAGCACACGCGGGTTTTTGAAGGCAAGGGTCCACATGATAATCGAATGTTAGATTTAGGAAAAACGAATTTTTATGACATTTGGCGTGCAAGTTATGAATATCCTATGAGAGGTCCTAAAGAATGTCTATTTGTCAAAGACATTTACTCGTCTTTGAGTGAACGTAATCTAAAGGAAAAGATAATGGAATATCAATCATTAAGAAAAGCGTATCCAGGTTTAATAGTCTCTTCCACCAGTTTGAATTTTATTGAGAATAATGCGAAAGAAATCAATACGTTCGGTCAAAAGATATTTTTATGCATACTTTTAGGTTACTACATAGAACATTATCACAATGCAAATAAAAGTTTTCAAGCTTTCTTTCAACTTCCGGAATCTTTTCCATCTAGCCCTTTGCTAGAAGGTCTTTATAGAATTACTTCAGATTCATTGCCTTCTAATACGACACATTTGCTTTTGCCTACAATCTCGACTCTAGTAAAACAAAATTCATCACCTGTATTCAACGGATTTGAGTGGATGAATTTATTTGCTGTGGCCCCTGTAATCGATCCTAATTACACTTTTTTGGATGATATACAAAAATGGGAATATGACGAAAATAATTCAATATTACTTAAAGAGAGTTTAGAAAACAAGGCAAAGCCGGCAATTGATAATATAAAATCAACTAAACAATATAAAATTATAATTAAGGTGATTTATCTTTCTTGAGTCATTTCTGGTTTTGTTATGTTCAATATTAATTCTATTTGATCTATTACAATGAACTAGAAACTTATTTCACTTACCACAACCATCGACATGCTTGTCTTTTTATGGCAAAATATGGTTCGTTCGGAAATCACAAAAGATTCTTTTCTTTATTCAGAGGTTCATGATCACACGCGTGAACATTTTTACAAGTTAATTGCCTCGAAGAATGCCGAAGTTTTGCTCGAATGTCTCAACAAGCTGTCAAATGACTTTCATAGTTTAGTAGCACAGAAGATTCGAAAAAAAGTTCTTGAAATTTTACAGAGTCAAAAATATCACTGGACCAAAAGGAGTGTTGATTCTATTTCTTGCTTATTATGTGAAGATAGGCTTTCTTGGCCCACAAATGAAGTGTTTCAAGCGTTGGATCTCATCAGTAAATCTAATAATTTTCAATTATTAGAAAGTTTCCCAAAATCTTTGCATGATGTGATAGAATCTGTGTTTGAATATAGAGAACAAAATTTTTGGAAAAAATTATCCATCATTTGTATCAGATGGTATCAACGTATACTCCTTGTTCGTAATGATAATGCGGCGGTACACCAAACCAATGGAAATGTTGTCAATGATGTCTTCTTTTATCTTTCGCAAATCTATCCAATTGTTGCGGCCGTCGAGTCGATAACTGACAGTTTGCAAGATATTGCGATTAAGCAGATTGAAAACTACAACCATGATCTTGTGTTCAGAGCAACTTCTTTAATTGGCAATATGCATCAAAATGTTCAAAATTGTTTTGAAAAAATGATTAAGAAACGTTTAGATGATGTAATTCAAAAAAGTGATGCTCAAAAACTTTTGGGGCATATCATGGACATTTGTGGTTGTGATAATCAAAACCAAGGATTAAAAGTCCCCAATAAGTGAGTTTATAAAAGATATTTATTCGCATCTTATTGTTCATGAAATCGAATTATACTTATACTATTTTTTTTATCATTAGATTTTCCGACGAAATTCTCCTTTATATGATGAATTGCTTACAGAAACAAATTTCTGACTCCTTGTCTACCGGAAAGATCGTTTCTGATAACTTTCATGCTTTTTTACTCGAATCCGCTGGTTTTTGGGTGGTGGTTTTACAAGCCCATGGCACGGTGAAGCGCCTAAATTCTAATATGCTTGTACAAAAAGTCAAAACTACCATTGTTCATCTAGCCGAATTGATCAAAAAAAGTACTATCAAAATAACCCTACTTCGAAATGTGTTAAAGCATTCGAACCGGGATCTAATTCGGTATTTTGGCGCTGTCAAAGATAACAAAATTAAAATCACTGAAAATGAGCTTCAATCTGTGCGCGAAGAATATACAGCATTCGAAAATAGATTTATGCATCTAAACGATTTTTATACTCATTTCTGCTCGGACCCGAGATTAACTGATGCTCATGAGTATATAAAAGATATGGATTATAAGATGCAATCATTTGAAGACACAACATTGAGTGATATATTATCAGGTAATTATATAAAATTGATTATGATGTATTAATAAAATACTTAATCTTTGTTTCTTAATTTCAGTTTATTGGGATATGCATGAGTCGATTCTCAATATTGCAGAAAAATCACATCTCTATATAAATTCTCAAACTTTTTCGAATGTTTTTGAGGACAGCTTGAAAAAAGAAACACAGGAATTGTCAGTCCTAGTCATTGCAGAAAGTATCATGCCAAAAACATTGATAAAACATGAAACTTTAGTAAAGAAGTGTAATAATTTGAAAACGATCAAGGTTTCTGAGGCACTCCTACTTTGGGAAAACACAAAGAACATTGATGAGGAATTGGAATTCTTATCAGATATTAAATATTTAAGAATATCTAAAGAGCTGAAAGATTCTATAAGAGATCTTGTATCCGTTTCAAAGTGGAAAGAACGTCTTCAACAATTGTAAGTATTTTTCTACGATTATTATTATTTATAAGATAATCTCTCTTATTAAAAATTTTTTTAAAAGAATAAATGCTGCAGAAATATGCAATGTAGAAGATAAAAGAAAAAAATTTGCTAAACTATTGGAAAATATTGATAATCAAGAAAATTCATTTGGGGATTTATCGCGTGCAATACAAGAAGTGAACAAATCTTACGGAGCGATTAGCGACGATTGCTGGTCTTTAATCAAGGAGCTTTCAACGGCGAATAAATTTATTGAATTTTTAAGGAGGAATGCAGAATACGATTTGAAAAATTTGATTAATGCTGTAGATGATCATTCAGATGAGCAGTTGATTCGAGAAGATACAGTATCTTCATTGATTCAAATCAAACATTTTTTGCTTCCAATCGTCGGCGATGCAGATAAAAATAAGATATCAGGCATCGATGCTTTTATTAAAGAACTATCATCCATCTCCAACAAGAATCCCGCATTATCAAAAAAGCTTACCCTCTGCAACTTGCATAGACTTGCATTAGAGAACATGTGCGCAAATATTTTAAGGAAAGGGGAAGTTACGAAGAAACGCATAAAAAATGCAGCTACAATAGGAATTTATGAATTTCAACGTCCAGCAAAAGAAGATAATTGTACCGTTCAGTTAACTTATTACTGGCAGGATCAACCAGCTAAATACACACTTAACGATTTGCTAGATTTGCGAGGTCGTGCTTTGTTAATTGCAAAATCCGCTAACTCTGTTAAACAAATGCCGACTGATGAAGAGGATGAAGATGATTTCGATGAATCGTATATTAATAAATTTGTACATGATTTGGATATGGTACAAGAAATTCTAAAGGTAGCATCAAAATTAATTCAATTAGGTCACTTTAAGTATAGAGAACTTCAGGAAAAAGTCGAAGTTAAAAATGAAGAAGAAATCAATGGATTGCTCGAAAAACTTTTTGGTGACTTGACTGAATGGTAGAATATTCTAATTCTTATTCTCCGTTTTACTATTTATCTCGAAACTAAATCCATTACTATTTTTCAATAGGGAAACTATGATCAATCAAGCGCAAGAACACTATTACTATTTGACATTTTACCCAGCACGACATATTTTAACTTTTTACGATTATTTTTTCGAAAATTCTAATAATCTCGAAATCAAAAACAGCTGTGAAATTCTCTTGAAATATGTCAATAAACAAGCAAAATTACCTCCGGCAAACGCTAATCACGCAATAACTTGCGAGACAGCATCTTATGATAAAATTTTTGGTGAAATCGGAAAGATATTACACAATATTTTTGAATCTACGCCAAAAAGAATTCGAAACATCTCCGCATCAATAAATTGTATTCATTCTGACGTGGTCAAATCTGGCCAATTGTTTGTTGCTTCTTGTGACAAAGGCCGCATGGAAAATACAATCATGTCACTTTTTGCTAATTATAAAACTTATCCGGAACCTTGGCAGATTTTTATTTGTCGTTCAAATACAACTGCAGAAGAACTTTCTCTCTTTATTAAAAGATGTTTTTTGGCAGCGAGTAATGGATATGGTAAAAATCTTATTTGTTTGCTTTTTTATTATATACGAAATAATCATCGATTATAATTTTTCTTATTATGACAAATTAATCCAGAAAACCGATTATTTTGTATCGCCAATTTGGAAGTTCTTGATGTCGAGTTACAATACAATCTAGTAAATGATATACGGGCATTAAGCGAAACAAAAAAACAGTATGATTTGGCATTGATTTGCTGCCCTGAACCCGGAATACATCATCACATCACTGATCAATTTCGCGAACATGTTCATGTATCAAATGGTCTTGATTCGGATTCAATGAAAAATATTTACGGTGAAATCTGTCAAGATGTGATACGTGTTTCCTCGGATTTGTCTGGACAAGGTAAAACTGAATGGATTCGTCAAACGAGTATGGCGAAAGGTTTAATACCACGAAGTTTTCTGGTCAGTGATGATATTCAGTATGGGAAATTTGTGCGTCAATTGAAAGAGAACAATTTACGACGAGAGTTTGAAAGTATACATTTCAATATTTTATCGGTCAAGAATCCGGGCGAATTGAATAGGTTTCTTTTCGAACTATTGACGTTGGGTATGGTATCAAATGGAGTGGATATTGTAGAACTGCCAGACACATCCATTTATATTGAAGTGGCATCTACTGTGGATCAATATCTTCTTAATTCACTACCATTCACTGAATACCTCACCAAAAAAGAACTTGAATGGGATGATGAACATTTTATTGCATCGCGTGAACCTACAAGTCCCATACAGGTGGTGGCTCGATACCTTGATGCATATAATCGTAAAATTCTCAATGAGACAGATATCTCTATTTTAACAGGCGATCCCATTCCAGCCAATCGTTGCCAAGAATTACTTAATAAATACTTTTTTGAGGAAACTGCAAAAAGCATATATTCATATCGCTATATAGAAATCTTTACAAATGTACTAGCCGATCAGTTGATTCGTATGTCGGCAAGCACATATTTTCAGGTTGAAAACATAGAGCTAATGGTCGATGAACGTAATCGTAATATTCGTGCCTTATTAATGGAACAGTTCATCGAAACTGGTAAAGAATTTGCAACACGATCGATAGCATCAAAATTGGCACAAATAGAAAACGATAAAGCATCTCAATCGGAAAATATTGCTGAATTTGATACTGCACGATTGGGAGCTATTTTACGTAAGTTATATGATGAATCATTGATATTCATTTTTGATTATTTACTTAATAATTTCTCTATTTTATGTCGTTAGCGTGGGAAGAATCGAACCATTTACTAGTGGTGTTTTTATCACAATCACCAGATTCGATTGCAGCATTTTATAACGATAGAGAAAAAGTTCCAGCTAGCGTTAAAAAGTTATTACAAAGTCAACAAGCTAATCGTGAAAATCCAGAATTAGAAGATTATCATGAAATGCCACCAGAAATATTACTTAATAAATTGGAGTCATTAGCACGAAAATCGATGAAGGAATTAGTATTGCCGCATTATGCGTTATCAGCTGACAATCTTCTAAAGATGGCACTTATCTTATTAAGAGCACGTGCTCGTATACCAGTAGTTATATGCGGAGAGGCTGGATGTGGCAAAGTAATTATAACCTTTTTTGATTTAATTTTTATATGAATATGTATAGTTCAAAAGTAAGAATTAAAATAATAATTATTTACTCGATTTGATATATACAGACCAGCCTCATTCACTTCTTGTCAATGATGGTCGAAGTGGAATTTGAATCATTAAATTTACATGCTGGAATTCAAGAAGAAAAAATTCTAGAATCTATCAATAAAGCCACCAATAAAGCCAAAAAAGGAGAAGTGTGGATGTTTTTCGATGAAATCAACACTTGTAATCATATTGGAATGCTTGCTGATCTGATCGCGCATCGAACACTTAATGGAAAACTTATACATCACAATATTCGCTTATTTGCAGCAGCAAATCCGTAAGTTAAAATTATCTATTAAACGACTATCATCATCATTATTAATACAATAATGTTTTTTTATAATAGTTATCGATTGCGCATTAAAGCTCAAAGTAGTGCCGGATTGAAGGCAAAGCAATCACGGTATGAAGAACGAAATCGATTAGTATATCAAGTGAACCCGTTACCTGATCAAATTTTGGATTATGTCTGGGATTATGGCATATTGAAACGGAAAGACGAGTATTTATATATCCAAATTATGGTTAAATCGCTTGGGGAAACTGCGTTTAAGATTGGGCTTCCCGAATTACTATCGGAATCTCAACAATTTATTCGGGATACAGAAGAGGTATAAACCATTGATAATTGTCTGTTAATGTGTAAATTTCTTATACATTATTGGAAAGTTGACTCATCGTTAACTCATCTTTCAAAGCCATATAGTGTCAGTTTACGTGATGTAAAGCGTACTATAAAGCTCGTTCGATTCTTTCATGCTAGTTTTAACCAAAGGGATAAGAATAATAATAAACATAAAATTTCAATCTGGGTTCGCTCTTGCTGCCTTGCCTTAGGACTATGTTATCAGGTTTTAATCTCCTCAATATTATATAATAAGTTGAAACATTTTTCGTGAGCTGACATAATTCTATCAATAGGCGAGGCTATATGAGAAAGATTTGCGGTTGCAATATCGCAGAAAAATGACTGCTATATTTAGAACTAAGACAATCCTTATGAAAGAAGAAGAATTTGATACCATCATCAAAGAAGAACAATTAGATTACTTTAATCGTATGATAGTGGGACCTTCGATTGCTGCAAATTCAGCACTTTTAGAAAATATACTAGTGATGATAGTGAGCATTTTAACACGTATTCCAGTCTTTATTATAGGAGCACCCGGAAGGTAATATATATCTATTCAATCTAAAGAAAAATGTAATACGTCGTTTTATAACTAAATGAAATCATTATCTTTATTATAAGTTCAAAATCCTTGGCTATACGAATCATTAGTCAAAATCTTCGTGGAATAGATTCTCACGACCCATATTTTCGAAGGTTACCTGGGGTAATTAATACTCATTTAAACTTTTGCATGCTCTAAATTTGAAGCATTTTAATAATTTTAATTTTTATATTAAAGGTGTATGTTGTTCCACATCAAGGTTCAACATCTTCAACCTCAGAAGGTATTATCAAAGTCTTTGATAAGGCTCGTAATTACCAAAAGACTAGCTCCACAGAATTTAAAGTCAATGCTGTTGTTTTATTGGATGAAGGTAACAATTAACAAAATATTAAAGTAGCTAGAGATCGAATAATTAACAAGTTATCTGAATTATTAGTTGGTTTGGCCGAAACCAGTCCATTTAATCCATTAAAAGTATTGCACTCACTTCTCGAACCAAGTTTTCGTGATGAAAAGGAGTCAGATTCGGACCTAGAAAATTCAGATAATCCAAATAATGAAAAAAAATTTTCAGATTGTCCAGAAGTTTCTGTTATTGGTATTAGTAATTGGCGACTAGATAATAGTAAATCAAGCCGAGCTCTTCTTGTCCAACGACCTAAATTTGATAGGGCTGACTTATTAGAGACAAGGTTTTATAATCTATCTATATATATAAAAATCTACTGATTGTTAAAATACGAAGCTTATTAAACACAATTCCACGTTCTATTTATTTAGCCGAAGAATACTTGGTAAACGTTTCCAAAAGAAATATGAGTTTTTAGCTGATGCCTACCTTGAATATGAGAAAAATCAAATTCATCCTAATTTTCATGGTAAGTGTATAAATTTTATAAAAATGCCAAATTTTTCATCAAAACTAAAATATACATCATGTTTAGGTTTACGAGATTATTATGCGTTAATAAAAAGCTTAAGTGGAAATCTTACAGGCAAATTTTTTATCTAAACATATTCATTTTGTCCAGATAAGTTCTTTTATTTATTTATTTTTTATAACATATAGCGAAATCATTACATGAAGGATTGATCCGTAATTTTGGAGGAACTGAAAAAACACAAGAATTGTGTAAAGAATATTTTGGCCAAGTTTTAAATAATTTAAATGGTAAGAAATTGTTATATAATATGATAGAAATCATTGTGTCCCATTTTTTGAATATTTCTATATTATTAGGCAAGGTGTACGATCTCAGGCAAATTCCGGTAGATGAATTAATCAACAAAAATTTAGAGGACAAAAATGCTCGACATCTTATGGTTATTGGGAAAAGTGATTCGTTAATAGACATTTTAACATATCACTTGCGTCAGAAGCAGTTGGATCCAGTGGTAAATGAATTAATTACAATAAAAGACAAAGCTTAAATAATTTTTAATCAATTTGAGCATCTCATGAATTACGCCAGGTAATCTGCGGTTCTCAATTTCCGGATGACCAAGAAGATTATGCATATGCAGTTCTGAAAAGAATTATGGTATGTTATTTACGCACTACAGTCTATTATTTAATTTATTTTGCACCTAACTTGTAATAAACATTTAATTATTAGATATGTGTAGAAGCTGGCCGTCCCTTAATTTTAAGCGATTTGGATATAATATATGGTAAAAATACCTTGTATTTCTTGTTAGTTAATTTTTATTATAAATAATCTTATCAATAATCATTTTATTTGTCTTTATATAGGGAGTCTTTACGATTTGTGGAATCAAAATTATTATACCGGTAGTCTATTATAATTCAATAATTATATATTTTATATTTGAAATATTTTTGATTTATTAACTGGTGACATTTTGAATGAATCCTTTCGATCACTATATCGAAAAGCTGGCACAAAGGAAGATCCAAAGCACTTCACTCGAGTAGCTTTAGGAGCCTATTCAAACCCGATGTGTTTTGTACACGAAAACTTTCGATGTATTTTGATCATGGATGAAAGGAAAATAAAATTGGCAGAGCCTCCTCTTCTCAATCGATTTGAAAAACAACGAATGAGTATCAATGACACTCTTAACGATAAGCAAAAACACTTCGTAGAAAATCTCTCTTTTTGGGTTCGTCAAATTTCAAATTTGGCAGGAACGGACTTTTCGGTAAATGACATGTTTATCGGATTTAATGCTGAAGAAACAGTGCAGAGTTTGGTCATTGACAATTGTCAAAAATATACTAATCTTGATGATGGTGAATTTATCATGACCAAGGTGCGTAAAACTAAAAAATGATAAATTGGATTTATTCTATTCTAATCTAATCCTTTTTAATTATTCATTTTATACATAGTGTAAAGAATCTCTTATATCAATTGCAACTGCTGATGGGATAGTAAGGTCTGAAAAATCTGCTTTGGCCACCACAAACCCGAACGAAGTTGCGTATTGGAAAAACTTCTATCTTGTTCACCAAAGACATGACGATCTTTATACTTATTTTGAAGAGTTATTACATGTGGATAACAATAGTATTGCGACAGCTGAACCAAAAAGCTACCAAACTATTATAAATACATTTTCCAATATTCACACTGATGTGCGATCAATCTTGAAAGGTATCACATGTCAAGTTGACAAATTATCCACCTTTAAGACAGAAGCTCAACTGCAAAATCGCGTAAAGCATTTCTGGTTGGAATCTGACTCACGGCTATTGATTTTGCAATGTGATGTGTCAGTATTGAAGACTAGATGCATCAAATTGGCAAAATTTATTATAGAACAATCTCGAGCAGAATATCTTGCTCGTTCTCAGCAACCTAGCAAACATGCGTGCATTATCCTTCACACTCAACGTAAAAATGATGCCAATTCTTGTTCGTTTAACTTTATGTGTGGTTGGGAACAAATCACTATCGAGCTACTTAATCCACAGGAGAGCACTTTATCTAATTTGCTCAATGGAAATCTTGGGATCACTATTGAATCCTCATACCCATTCAAAAACGTCATTCAACAAGAACTTTTATGGTGTTTGTCCTGCATTAAATATCCTGCGACGCCAAAATCAGTTACTCATCTAAGATACTTACTTCAAGAAATACCAAACCACCCGAATTTTATAAACATTATAAAGGAAAGAGTGCAACAATATTTACCAGAATACGACACTAATAATTGGCAATTGCAGGTGGCCTCCGACAAAAGATCTCTATGCTTATACACATCTTTATTAGCCGCACTTCAATCATTTGTTAGAGAAACAATTCGCAAACCGATCGCTAAAATTTTGTGCAGTCTTGAGCGATTATCTGCTACACAAACATTCCTCGAAATCGATAATGCATCTGAAGAAAACGATTTGCTCTTGTTTTGGAGTGAAATATTTATGGACAAACGAATCGTAAATATTGATGAATTACAGGAACCAAAACCGGATTTGTTCAGAATGCCCAATCCTCAGCACAAATTATGTTTCCCATTTTCATTTTATTTTTTCAATCGCATTAATAGTTTCGAAAAGTTTTACCGAGAAGATGTGTCACAGCTTTCTGAGGATGAAAATAATCTTGATGATGAAGCAAGGCTTTTGAATCCTATTATGGAAAATCTTCAAACTAGTTTTACAAAGAGAATTTTGGCAGCTATACCTGCACTTCGTTCGCCTTATGTAAATAATTCTATGGGATTATATTATAATGATTTTATCACAATCCTTTCATCCGAAATAATTGGCGAAAACACTGAAAAACTAATGTCCTATATTATAAGATCTGAACTTACCGAGAAGGATATACGTAATCCAATAAAACTTCATATTTATTGGTGGAATAATGCCGATTCTATGATGAGCAAATTATGTCTTGCCAAACTATGTCCAAACGTCGTAGAAACTATGCTATCAAGTGATTATTTCGGAGAAAATTCTGGTGATCAAGATGATGAACAAGAGAATGGCGAGAATCAGGAAAATAATGCACTTCATACCACTGTGGAAGATGCGGATGACGATGACGACGATGACCTAAATAATAGGCAAAATGACGAGAGTGAACATTATAGCATGGTTGAATTACTTGCCACTAGAGCGCATAAAAAATCATCGCATAAACATGAGGAAGATAAAGGAAAAGGCAAAGAGACAGAAATTCAAAGTGATGATGACGATGACGAAGAGGAGGCGCAAGAAGAAAATAAACACGAAGAGAAAGATAAAGGAAAAGGCAAAGAGACAGAAATTCAAAGTGATGATGACGAAGACGAAGAGGAACAGGAAGAAGATAAAAGAAAAGGCAAAGAGGCAGAGATTCAAAGAGATGATGATGATGATGAGAATTCCATCTCTGAAAAATTTGAAGATTATCTTCTGGTACAAACAATAAATATGGTTTTTGAAAAATTATACGACCTTGCAGACGAAGAGGAGCAAAGTGGGAATGAAGACGACCAGATACAACACAGAGAAAATATTCGAGATTGGCAACGTCTCGTTAACATTATACTACTTCATTGCTCAAAACTCTCAATATCGTCAAACACAGAATCATTTAATCTACTGCGTATTTGTAATGACTTGGTTTCCGCAAAATCAATTCCTCTTCGCGAAATTAGAAAACTTATTTATAGTCCCCAAAGAGATATTTCCGACGAATTGTTGTCAATTGAAACGATCAACACTATATTCGAATTGTTGGATAAATTAGACATAAAAGAATCTCAATCGAATCCACGGCAATCTTTTATTATGCGATGCTTAAATATCATTGAGCTTGATTCACCAATTCGAGAATATCTTTATGAAAAAATATTTTCTCAAAAACCATTCCCCCTTATAGGGTCAATTGTTTTACGAATTTTCGAAGCTGAAACTGGAGATGATGAACTAAAAAATGTATTCTTAGACCTCATAGAAAACCCTCAAAAGATTTTAAGAATGTCCAGCAGATTGCAAGTAATCAACGAATGCCTGAAAAAGAATGGCATAAATTCACAAATGGCGGCATTATGTACTGACGTGATACAAAAAGGATGTTTTGCTTCTCTGATAATCGGTGAGCTGGCACCTAGTTTTCGTCAAGCTATAGAAGTCTTATGTGAGCCAAAGAATGCCGAACCTTTACAGTTATTGTCATCTATTGCATATTTCAAAGAATTTGTCAGCATGTTTTGGCGATCGATAGATTCTCTCGATAATTCATTAAATCAAAAAATTCAGTTTACTTTCATGGAAACTGACCAAACTTACAATTTAATCGAAGCTATCACTCAATCTTTAAGCCTTCCCAATCCATTGATACACTCTCTAGCGATCTATTTTTTAAAGGAGTTGCGATCTCTTGGATTCTCAGTCGAACAAATCAAACAACTTTCTCTGGTTCAACGAGAGTATTTGCCCTGGATTTCTGAACTTCCTTGGGATGATACTAAACGAAGCAGACTTCCATTTAATCCTTATTGGATATTAGATGCTTACACCGTGGCAGAGAATGCATATAAATATTCATATTCGGTCTTTAACAATTCTCGATTTGATACTTTACTTAAAAGTCTTTTACAAAGTCACAGAGTTGATGAACGTGTTGCATTTATTGGCCTTATACTCGCGAGATTGCATTCACCTCGAATTATAGCTGAGGAATTGAACAATAATGAGAAAAAGATATATAATTATTTGCGTAATCAAATACAACAAATGAACCTCCAAATCGTCTATAAGGATACAGTCATGAAATTGTTCGAGAATAAGCATCCTCTCATTCAACTAAATCCGCAAACTAATGATTTCCAATTGCTCATGGTCTCTGTAATTATACACATCGTCGCTGTTATCGCGTCTCTCCCTCCGGATCATTCGCCATTAAGCGTATATTTACATCGATTACAAGCTTGCCAAGAGACTTTCATTTTAACATGTCCCACGGATTTGGAATCCGTGTTTTTAAATGTTCTTTTTACTTCTACTCACAAATTGGATGGAAATAATCGTAGGCTCACTCGGTAATTGTCATTAATCAATATACATTTTGCTTAATTTTATTGTTATCAACTAATAAAACTAATTAAAGTCACATTTTCTGCTCAAATTAGATATAAATGTAAATGTGGCTATATATATTATATTGGTAACTGCGGTCTGCCAAGTAGTAACGATGATAAATCAGTATGTCCTGAATGCAAATCCACCCTTGGAGGCAAGCATCATCATTTTTCAAGTTATTTAATTATTAGTTAAAAATGATTTATTATTTAATAATTATTCTCTAATGATTATAAATGCAGGCATAGATCATAAAGTACCTGTAGGACATGAGAAATTAGATGCGACTCCATTAAATAAAAATGATCGACAAGAAGATCAAACTGGATATATCGTGGAAACTTGTAGCACTGATCAATACTTAAGTGTACGCGCCATGACTCCAGCTTCATATCGTATTTTGCATTTATTTGTTCACGCAATATTTGGAATATCAGCACCATCATCTACTGTGCAAAATTTCTTTGGAAATGTTCCAGACCCAGTTCGATATTGCCTAGATCATATTAACAATGATTGGGAAGTATTAAAGCGGATTTTTAATTGCTCCAATGATGTGTTGGCTTTATTACTTCATGCTATTCTTTTTTAAATAATCAAAGCACCAAAGCTAGACCCAGTGAATCTCAATACAGCAGACGAAAGAGATCAATGGGAGCGCTTTTTTACAAATAATTTGGTTGTCCCATTAGTAAAGAATGTCAATGGAACTGCTGCTGATCTTCTCACAAAATTAGAAGCAGCTGCAACTGCAGCAGATCAAGGAAGCGGTATTCTCGAAAAAGAAATTTGCGAAACAATCGAAATAAGTGAACAATACAGTATAGAATATTTGCCGAGACTTTGGCGAAAGATTGGCAATACCACGTTTGACAATTTACACGCATACTTTACTTCGAATCAACAAAACTCATTGAAATATCCATTCCTTGATTTGTTTTTCAAATATGAACAAAAATTGAACCTCATAAAGAATATAAGACCAATAGTTAAATTTGTTCAACTACTTTCGAAGCAATTAGGCCATCTTATTACTCGAAAACAAGCTCAGGACACAACTTTTAAAGCTTTTATTGACAAACAAACTAAGGAATCAGATGAAAATGAATCTCATAATTTGAAAAGCGCATTTAAAAATTTCAAGGACGCATGGAATTCTGTAATCCCTTATGTAACACGTTTCCAATGCCACGAGTTGGAACAGAAACCTACAATTAATGAAGAATCTTCTATTATCCTTGGATTAGTAGAACCTAAGGGAGAATCACTTTACCTTTGTGCCATATTGGATTATTTGGTTAGCTTACAAAATGAATTTTTACAAGAAGTGGTTACGATTCCACCCGGAAACTGTTCTTCTTTACGATTCTTGGAAACAGAAGGAATCCGTGAAGATGATTTAGATGCGCCATCAACTTCCGCAGCAACCACGCGTGATCCACATATTCTATATTATTTAAAATCTATGAGACTTGAGAATATTCGTCCATCCAATATCATTCAATATGAATGGGATGATGAGATACTAGAATTTAGTCAAAGAAATCTTGAAGTACTTCATGGCGAGGAGATTGCATATGATTTATACAAAATGGAAATGGAGTTGGCACGTAGTTTGGTATTCGGTAAAGTTTATATTGAAGCAATTAGCAATAATATGTACTTGGAAAATTTCCTTTACCATATGGAATTATTCCATGCATCAATGACATTAATAAACGATGTCAAAGAGTTAATACCACAAGAGCCACTTCCAGATCGAATAAAACGTAATTACAATGGACAAGAGGGTTCCATATCATTGGAAAATCCAATGGATCTTCGTTCTTTTCTGGAAATTCTTTTATGCTTTGTGAAACGTACTGCTATTAGTGATGGCGAGATGCCTATAGTCGAATTTATAAAACAATGGATGAACCGCTCAAACTCAATCTCTGAGAATAAAATTTTCCAAATGGAACTGCAACTTAAACATATAGTCGCATTATACGAGTTAATTGAAGATAACGTGGCTGATCTGATGATGGAATCTATCGATAACAAATATAAATCAAAACTACCAGATGACATGAGAGAGGAAATCAAGGAAGTAGTCGAATTTGAATCAATAACACAACAAAAATCCAAAAAATTCCCCGCAGTAATATTTGCCTCCGCACTGAAACGATTTATTGTACGATATCTTCTTCTTGAGGACAAAATTCGTTCGAATGATCCGCTTTACCTTTACGTATGCGATGTTTCGCTCAATTGTTGGCCATCTGATATTACTGAGGAATTGTTAGATCTATTTCCGGTTGAGTTACTTGTTGAACATACTTATGAAGCTTATCAATTGATTAGATCTATTTTATGGGTAATTTTTTATTTTTTATGCTATGACTTTGTTTTATATAAGTTTAATTATTCATAATAATTTGTTTTATAGAAGAATGAATTGAAGAAACGTCAAGCTAGAGAAGAGAATATGAGAGCAAAACATCATCGTGCATCTGCCGTTGCTTCTTCTAGTCGACCCAGCCCAAATCCAAAAAAGAAAAAGGGAAAAACCAAATTCGACAAATTATAAAGGATAGCTGAAAAAATAGTCTAATGTATAGGTATATATACAACTATGTGATAACATAAAATAACAATAGTAAAGAAACTATTTATATCTATAAAAAAATAGTTACTTTATCGACGTTACAACTTTCCAATATAAAAAATGGTGTAAATGTCGTCTTTTTTCTTATTGTTCGTTAATTAAATATTCTAAAAAAATATTATCCACTCGATCAACATGAGCAATTTTAGTGTGATAATTTCGTCCATAAAAAAGCTGTTTTTATTACAATCACATTCGAATATGAAAAATTTATGTTTAACAATCAAAGATCTCGGGTATAATGCGTTTATTTTGATATTCGAAAGAATGGAATGAGCATCATATTTAAGAAGGCTAATATATTATTACATGATTTTTATTAACTTAATGCTTCCACAAGCGTTCAGGCCTGTGTTGTTTATTTTTGTTGTAATAGAGACCGCAGGCTGTTGATATTAAAAAATCAAATTATATAATGATAGTGCTGTAAAACAAGAAAGATAAAGGAAAAAAAAAAATACCATTACACAAGGTCTGATCTTGTGTGGGTCCAACACGCCATACGGCGGTGCTGGTGATTTTGCAGTTTGCGCATTTTACATCTGAAAAGGATGAATTAAGAATTTTTTGAAATAAAATAGATAAATTATAGCAAGAGGAAAATTGTTATTACCCCTATGTTTAATATTATTGTTGTTCATGTTATTTCTTTGTTTTTTGACAGGGCTACTTGCTGTTGCTGTATTTAAGACGGCAGGCGAGGGAAGGAAAAATTCATCGACGTTTTTAACCAAAAATCTATCATAATTATAAAGGAACAACAACAATGATGTTTATAATAGGCTAATAAGAAAAATTGAATTCATATTCATAAAATAATATATTCTAAAAATACTCACGTCATTATTTGATCGCACCGAACTTTTAGTTCTTGCAGAGATTCATAATCAATATCCGAACACATCAAGTAATATGGTAGTTTCACTGCAAATCAACACAATTTGCATTAATAGAAGAAATTGCAAAATACTTTAGAGTGCATTTATTCTATATAAAAACGATTACCGATAAGACGCAGCAAATGTTCCGCACCATAAACATCGCACAATTCCATGTCGGCGTGATTTTTCTTGAGGTCAACCAAATAAGGTTTTTCCACGTTATATAAAAGATCGTAATTTACGGCACACTCAAAGTTGTTTTTTAAACCAGCAACGACTCGGTGGTAAATATCACTATAACAATAAAGTTTAATTAATAAAAGTATTAAAAGTATAAAAAGAAGCGATGCTTACTTAGTGTCCGATAGTGGCATTACATTATCGGCCAATGATAGATTTTGATTATTCTCCGCGACCTCGTCTGTTTGAGCGTTGCATACAGTCACTTCGATATTACCATTAACGTGGTATTTGGAAGCTGTTCCCTCAATATCATTATTATTATTATCATCATCATTTTTAGAAGCTGCTATCGTAGGAAAAACTTCTTCGCCAATATTCGAAGTGTTATTAATGGACAAGTCTTCTAAACGTTGATATGTCATCCATCGGTCAAGGATCTGATTAATAGTCACAGAACTTGGCGCTTGTATGTACTAAAATTTTATTAACAGCGCGTTTTGATAAATAGGCCAAAAAAAAGGAATCCCGAATTATAAGAAATAGATATATCTGCTTACATTATTAAGTTTCATAACGTACTCCCAATCGTCTACAAGTTTAGCTTTAAGCACATCAGGAATCCGAATATCGAGGTCTTGTTGATTTAAGTCTCTCGTTATTTCTGTGTGTATGGGCATAGGATCCTAAAAAGATCAATAGATTTATATTTATAATTAAAGTGAAATTCTTTTCAAAAAATTATTTTATCCCAATAATAAGTCATACCTGTGGCGTTTCTCTTTCAATTTCATTAAATTTTCTTCTCCTACCTCGCCTACCTTCTGATTTTCTTACTTCTTTTACAAATTCAGAAGCAGTTTCGCTTTCTTTTTGCTCCCTCTTATTAGAACTCGGAGCAGTTTCTAGGTTTGGATCAATTTTTTTTTTGGGTCTTCCACGTCTTGGCTTTGATGATTGGTCAGCTTCGTTGGTAATTGTTTTAAATTCAGAAATTTGAGAATTCACTTCATCTCCCTTAATTTTTTTCGGTCTTCCTGGTCGACGTATAGGGATGATTTCTTTAGCTTGTTCATATTGATCAGTGTCATTAATGATATTGGTAGCGGTGGTTACTTCAATGCCATTAACTTTTTTCGGTCTGCCTCGCCCACGTGCGGGTTTCTTGATATCACTCTTAATCTTAGCGGCAGTAGTAGCTTCCTCGTGTACCCCTGAGATTTCTTTAAGGTTTGCGCTTTTCTGGATCACAGCTGTTGAATCAACTGCAATATCGATTTCTAATGTATTTTGGGAAGTATTTATTTTACTTTCTTTCTCTTCATGCGAGCTCGAAACTTTATCATTAATTTTCTCGCCCTTTTTATAAAAGAAGTGAATAAGATTAGCTGTCGATTTCTCCCAGTAAAATATATATATGTATATGTGCATGTCGCGAATCATAATAAGATGAATATGATTTTTATAATTGAATATAAAAATAACAATATAGAATGTGAATAATAATGAGATCAATAAGACTGATAACATGTATATATATATATATATATCGAAGAAATCTAAACAGATTGTGACAGTATATTGAAGAATACAAAATTCACTTGCTACCTTGTTTCCTTTTGAAGCCGAAGCTTTATCGTCTGTAATTTCTCTTTCAGCCATACTGATCATCAGTTATCGGCTTGAAATTATTAGTATTTGATGGAAATACTGCCAAAGCTGTGCGATCGTGCTTGTAAAAATTTAATACCGAGAAATTTCCAAAACACAAATATTTATAGAATTTTTTTATTGTACAAAATTCCTGAATTAATCAGAATCGTTTAAATAATGGAATTGTAAAATAATAATAATAATAATGATCATATAATTCATCCCGTACCACAAAAATTGTCCGGCCTAATTTCAAGCCTATGTTTTCGTATCGAATAAATTGAAAAATATATATTTGATTGATAGATGCTGATTATGAAAAATTAAAAGCTTTAATTTTAAATATGGGGAAATAGAAATAAAAATTATCACTTACAACGCTGCAATAAAAAAACAATTAGCACAGAAGTATCGCTGAAATTTAAAAACTATGAAGCGAATAAATTTTGTGAATTGCCATACTAAATTAGGAAACTTTGCAAGGTAAAAATCATTTTTTTTTCAATTTATTTGAGAAACATACCGCCCGTAAAAATTCGCAATTTAAGTAATATAGTATTCTGGTTATTTATGTATCAAAAAATTAGTGATTCTTAATGAAATCACCATTAATAAAAAAAATAAAAATAAATACCTAAACCTTGATTATTCTTTAGTCATAAAATAACCTATGATTATTCTTTGCTCACCAATTTAATCGATCCCTTTCCCACCTCTTTAAGAATGAATAAACTTGATCATTGACATATATTCAAGTTTTCAAAATAGAAAAAACGAAAAATTACGAAAAAAAATTTAAACTCATTATCTTTTTCACTGTTAAAAGTTAATTTGTCAACATTTTTTGTTTTTTTTTATTTATTAATTATTTTTATTGTAACTAGCAATAGGATTGATAAGGCACTCGAACATACACGCGCATATACTCACTTGAAAAAATGAAAATTTCTTTTAAACAAAAAAAAACCTAAACATACACACACCGATTCTCATACACTTCAAATGCACAAATTCGTAAAATTAATAAAGGAGCGAAACTTTATTTCATAAATTATAGTCATTTTTCCAGCTTTTTTTATCATGTTCGTCGGGTCTATTTCTTGCAAAATATGTTCATTGTATTACATTTTTTATTAAATGTTATCTGGCATTGTAATTATGTAATCCTCCATTGACTGAATTTGCGTAGAGCAAAAAAATTTTTGAACGTCAATCGAGCAAGACCATGGAATCATTACCGCAGAATCATGCAAATAATGACCGTTTGAACTTACTAAGGAGCAGAGTCATATTAGAATCAGACCGCATCAAAAGTGTACTTTCATATAACGCTATAAATCATTATATATGAGTCATTAGTTACAAATGTTATTAATGCTTTATCTTTGGTTTACTTATTTATTATAGGTGTCTTCTATGGAATTTCCCGGTCTGAGTTCAAGAGTGGATACTAACTGGGATCTTGATAACTTTAAAAAAGTAGTGTCACCTTAATTTTTTCTAAAACTTTAGATAAACTGAGATTTATTCTATCTCTATCAAAGAAATTTAAAATAGTAATAAATCAATTGTCTGAGACGGAAATGGAATTTGATTTGATTGGTGTCGATGCCTCGATAGCTAATGCGTTTCGCAGAATACTACTGGCTGAGGCAGAGTAATCTTTTTATTTTGTCTTATTAGTAATCTAAAGTTAATTCTTTTCGTGGCCACTTTCATATATATTATTATTCAATTATAAACAATGCTAGGTACCTACAATGGCCATCGAAACTGTATATGTGCATAATAATACCTCAATAATAGTCGACGAAGTACTTGCACATCGACTAGGTTTGATCCCAATAAAAGTTGATCCAGAAGATTTTGATTTTCGGTCAAGTGTGTATAAATGCAAATATTTAATAGTAATATTTATTGTTATTTGAATTATAAGGATTATCTTGTTTTCTTTATGCTAATAAATACATTTTTAGAAAATCCTGACGATCCACCAACTGATAGAGATACAATCGTTTTTATGTTAAACATTGAATGTAAAGAGAATCCAACGGCAAATCCTAATGAGCGAGATCCGGATAAAAGATTTATTAATTCAAATGGTGATAGATACATTCAAATATGATTTTTATGGATCAACTTATAATTTCTAAACTATTTTTATTACAATATTGATGACGATGATAATAGTCTATTCTTCGGATTTAAAATGGGCTCCTCAAGGTGATCAAGGAGTAAGATATGAAAATAATCCGATTAAACCGGTTCATGATGATATTCTATTAGCAAAATTAAGACCAGGACAGGTGATAGGATAATGAATTTGGTGGTCAATCTTTTATTTGTTCATCAAGTATCTTAACCTATCCAGCCATTATTTTTTTCGCTATAATTCCAGAAAATCTTGTTACAGGCTCATTGTGCGAAAGGAATAGGGAAAGAACACGCGAAATGGTCTCCTGTTGGTAAATTTCCAGGTGTTTTTTTTTATATTAATATCTTTTTATCTTAAATTTTGACATTTTTCGTAGCTACCGCTTCATACCGTTTATTACCTGAAATCATACTAAAGAAAGAAATAAAGGGAGACCTTGCGTATAAATTTGCTTCATGCTTTCCGATAGGAGTGGTAAAAATCACAGAAAACGAGAATGGTAAGATTTTAATTTCATATAATTTTTAATTAATTTTGATTTAATATAAAATTGCGTTTGATGTACTTTAATAGGTGAAAAGGTCGCTAAAGTGGTAAATCCCAGAAAAGACACTGTAAGTCGTGAAGTGCTGCGACACAAGGAATTTCAAGATATTGTACAGTTGACTCGAGTCCGGGATCACTTTATCTGTAATTTGGATTTTTTTTTTATTAAATCAATTTCCTATCAATTTTGTTGTTTATCTATTTTCTGTTAAAATTTATTGAATGCTTTGTAGTTAACATCGAAAGCACAGGAATACTGCCACCCGGAATTTTATTTCAACGATCTATCGAGATACTAATTCAGAAATGTGCTATTGTCAAAGAAGCGCTACGAAGAAAATTAAAAGTTTTGGCGGAGGAAGAGGTCAATCGTGAGAATGATGCTAATAAGATGGATATAGGTTAAAGAAGATGGTACCGAATAGTTTCTAGCTAGTTATGATATCTTTTTCATGTAAATTAATGGCAGATTAATTGTCTAAGCAAAAAAATTGTTAAATTTCCCCTCGAATGAAATTGTACAATATTCTTTTTAATAGAGTTCGAGTTCGGTCACAAGACCAAGTCTCAGAAAACTAGCTTTATAAAATTTTTCAACATAACCTTATATAATTAGCCGTTTGATCAATACATCGTTTAGTTGTATTTTATTTGGTATTATTACATTTTGGATATTATACACGCAAAAAATAATAAATGATGTTGATAAAAAGCCTGAAGCCAATACCACAGATCTAAATCCAATATACGCACACTCTTATGTATACGTATAAAGCCTCGCGTAACTAAGAAACACCATAAAGCAGAATTAATAATTTATTCAAATCATTTTCCTAGACAACTGAATTCCTATTGATAAAAAATATAAAACAATTAGTAAAGAACTTAATTATGCATTGATTCGTTCGTAAATGTTGGAGGAAAGTGATGTATATGTTCTTGGATTTGGATCATTTCGGGAAGTTCTGGATAAGACTGATTCTTATAAATGATTGGATAGTTTAATTTTTCACGTGATTTTATTCTGAAATGGTCCAAATTCCGAACGAGGTGAATTTTGTCCAATCTATCAAATAATCATCTTATGAGATGGTGGGCTAATAATTGAATCTATCTTTATCGCAAAGAATCAAATAGATACACTTTCCGAATACCTCACGTTCCTCCAAATTTTGATAAAAGCAAATGAAAAAGAAAAGGTCAGACGGTGGCTACTTTTTAATCATCCCCAATAAAACCGTTACAATCTTATAAAACTCGGTAAACTGCTGCTCGGTGAATTCGTCCTCACCAAATCGAGCACGTTCGTAGCCCTCAATATACAGACATCCGATTTGACGATCAACCACGTTATGCTCAATCAGAAATTCAATATATCGATGTATTGACATTGAAGGTTGACGTCGCAAGAGGGATGAACTCTCAAGGGCAACTTGTTCTTTATATTATGGAAGTTAACATATAAACATAAAATATGAATTGACTGTGCTGCTTATTATTACTTACCTATTATACTGGGCGTTTGAGATATAGTAGTTTTGAAATGAATATCTTCAACAGATGTTCCTTTTTTTTATTAAGAGACATGTCAATATAAAGATTCGTAAACAATTCCTAGACAATCATTAATTTACAAGTCATCTATATGAATTAGTAGATATTTATAAATACCTGGACGTCCCCACCCTGGCTGTCCATTATTTTCAGGACGAGGCTCAACTTCAAGCGCAATCAGCGAAACTCTCGTTAATTCTGAACTAATGAAATTATACACAGGCTTTATATAGATAGAAAGATAAAGATATTAATAGAGCGAGCATGATAATGAAAATATTCAAATGAAAAAAAAGAGACTAGATCAATACATCATCATCACCATTCATTCATCATCACCTTGGGAACATCATTCGATCTTATCGGAAGAAAAGATTTAGGAATGTTTTTTACGGCTTTTTTGACAAATCTCAGGCGAGAGAAACCTATTATTGCAGCTAAGATACCCTGGATTTTTGTTCAATTGTTATAATGATGAGTGAAGAAAATTTAAATATCGAGAACGATAAACGCCTAAATAACAGAACTAACCGTGAAGAAATATCCCCCGATAACAAAAGAAAGATAACGCCAATGTCTTGGATACTTGTATAAAGTTTGCTTTATTATGTCGATAGCTGAAACTGATAAAACAGCTGCGGTCAATAACCCAAGGAACAAGAGTGAAGTGATGTATAGGCCATTGCCTACTCTATCTATTCCACCACGTTCCATATATATTTTTACTAAGGCTTATTGATTATAATCGTGGCTAGTCAAATTAAAATCAATGTAATAATTGTATTACACGTGCATATGGGTTTACATGTGGCCGCCTTGATACTAAAAAATTTTTGGGTTCTTGGGGTCTTTTATATTAATCATTTTTTCCCAGTATAAGATGTAAATATAAAATCGTTGGGGTATTAGCAGCTTTCGTCGTAGAAAAAAGAAAGAGAAGTAGTAGTTGTAAAACAGTATAAAACAAATAAAAAAAGTTCTCTTGAGTTATCTTTCTTATCTGGAAAAATTTGTAAAAAAGTTGATTTATTGAATGTTTACACTGAATATAATACATATCTACGGTTAACCGTTGATGACATTTTGAATGTATGTGTCTGTATTTACGTATGTGCGTAGTCTGGATATGGAAGCAGCTATACTCTTAATACTAACAAAATATAATACCATTATAATGTAATGTGATTGATATTACCAATTTACCTATTGAATAGTAATAATCTCATGGACCAATTCATCGGTATGAAATATTTTGATTCTGCTTATTAATGATTCTCTTTTCATGACCTTGGCCACATACATACAAGAAATAAATAATACATCATCGTCGTTAAATACCATGCAAAAATTCACTCAAAGTCCATATCGATATATTCCTTATCTAAACTTAAATTTCACGCAACATAAAAAATAACAGGAGGCAACAACCTAAAATCATCACCACGAGGCATTGTACGTGACTTTGTAGAAAAACACCAAGGCCACACGGTAATCACCAAGATTCTAATCGCGAACAATGGAATCGCAGCCGTGAAAGAAATCAGGTCGATCAGGAAATGGGCGTATGAAACTTTCGGGGACGAACGTGTGATTCAGTTCACGGTTATGGCCACGCCGGAGGATTTAAAAGTTAATGCAGAGTATATTAGGATGGCAGATCAGTATATTGAAGTGCCCGGCGGTTCTAATAATAATAATTATGCGAATGTCGCGTTGATTGTGGATGTTGCTGAAAGAACCGGCGTACATGCTGTTTGGGCCGGATGGTAATTTTTCTCAATCAAATAAAATTTTAATATTACTTAAATATACATGTTATACAATGCAATCGTGTGATTTATTTCTAATAACATAAACAGGGGCCACGCATCAGAAAACCCTCGACTACCAGAATCTCTTGCAAATAGCAAGAACAAAATAGTATTCATCGGTCCACCAGGCTCAGCAATGCGTTCATTAGGCGACAAGATTTCCTCAACAATCGTCGCACAATCAGCAAACGTCCCAACAATGGAGTGGAGCGGCACTGGAATTAATCAAACTGAAAAAAACCAGCATGGTCACGTCGTGGTACCCGATGACGTCTACAAGCAGGCATGTATTAAAGATGCCGAAGATGGTCTGAAAAAAGCATTTAAAATTGGGTTTCCGGTGATGATCAAAGCGTCGGAGGGTGGTGGTGGTAAAGGAATACGAAAGGTTGAGAATCCCGAGCATTTTAGACAGGCTTTTGGCCAGGTGCAAGGGGAAGTACCCGGATCACCAATATTTATTATGAAGTTGGCAGGGAATGCTCGGCATCTTGAAGTTCAGTTGTTGGCTGATCAATATGGAAATGCAATTTCTTTATTTGGACGGGATTGTTCGGTGCAACGAAGACACCAGAAAATTATCGAGGAGGCACCTGTAACAATAGCTAAGAATGAAACATTTGAAGCTATGGAAAAATCTGCGGTCAGACTTGCGAAATTAGTTGGATATGTCAGCGCTGGCACAGTCGAATATTTATATAGTCATGAAAAGGAGTTTTTCTGTTTTCTTGAACTTAATCCACGACTACAAGTAGAACATCCAACTACAGAAATGGTGTCCGGTGTCAACTTACCTGCTGCTCAGTTACAAATTGCAATGGGAATCCCACTTCATCGTATACGTGATATTCGTGTTCTATTCGGAGTAGAACCGAATAGTACCTCCGAAATAGATTTTGATTTCTCAAATCCGCAATCTCTACAAACTCAACGTAAACCTGCACCAAGAGGCCACGTAATCGCCGTAAGAATTACCGCAGAGAATCCTGATGCAGGATTCAAACCTAGTAGTGGGATGATGCATGAACTCAATTTCCGAAGTAGCACGAATGTTTGGGGATATTTCTCGGTTAATTCTGCGGGAGGATTACACGAGTTTGCTGATTCACAATTTGGTCATATTTTCGCGTATGGTGAAAATCGACAACAGTCACGAAAGAATATGGTGGTCGCTTTAAAAGAGCTTTCGATTAGAGGTGATTTTCGAACTACAGTCGAATATCTTATAAAATTATTAGAGACACAAGCATTTGAAGAGAATACAATCACAACTGGGTGGCTGGATATGCTCATCTCGGATGACAATCTAACCGCGGAACGTCCCGAAAAAATGTTGGCTGTTATTTGTGGCGCCGTGACAAAAGCATACACCGCATCAGCCAATTCAATTAACGAATACAAAAGGTTTTTAGAAAAAGGATTAATTCCTAATAAGAACATCCTACAAACAGTATTCGCAATTGATTTCATTTATGAGGGAGTGCGTTATAAATTTACTGCAACACGATCTTCCCCGCATTCTTTCACACTTTATTTGAACGGGTCGAAAACTCTGGTCTCGGTCCGTGCCTTGACTGATGGTGGTCTGTTGGTACTATTGGATGGAAAAAGTCATACGTGTTACTTTCGTGAGGAGGTGCAAGGTACTCGATTGATGGTTGATAGTAAAACTTGTTTGTTGGAACAAGAAAATGATCCCACACAGTTGAGATCACCTTCGCCTGGGAAACTTGTGAGGTTTCTTGTGGAATCAGGTGATCATATTAATGGAGGAGAAGCGTACGCGGAAATCGAAGTAATTTATTTATTTTTATTTTGATTAATATATAAATTATAAATACTGTATCTAATCATGTTTTAATATTAGGTAATGAAAATGTATATGCCACTTATTGCCACAGAGGACGGTATAGTACAATTCATTAAACAGCCTAACTCTAGTCTAGAAGCCGGTGATATAATAGGAATATTAACGCTTGATGATCCTAGTCGTGTTCGTCATGCACAACCCTTCGAAGGTCAACTACCGCCAATGGGTCCACCCGTAATTATCGGTGATAAACCACACCAACGATTTTGGGAGGTAACTCAAATTCTCGAATGTATACTGGCAGGCTACGACAATCAAGCGCTACTATATAGTAGTGTCAAAGAGTTGATTGAATTGCTACGAAATCCTGAACTCCCTTATTACGAATTCGATGATATACTGTCAACGTTGTCTGGACGTATTCCCTTGAAACTTGATACCTCGCTACACGAACATGTTCGAAAGTTTCAAGAAAATAAACTAGAATTCCCCGCGAAACAATTAAAAGAAATCATTTCCGATTATACGCGTGACTTTGTTAATTCTGCTGACGTGATTAGTTTTACGGCGACTATATCACCATTGATCGAGGTTGTTGATCGATACATTCTTGGACTAAAGTATCATGAATGGATGGAAATTAGTCGCTTCCTGAATATGTTTCATGAAGTTGAAGTATTATTTGCGAAATCCAAAAAACGTGAAGAAGATGTTGTTCTCACGCTTCGTGAGAAATTCAAGGACGACATTGACAAAACTATCGCGCTTATACTCTCGCATTCAAAATTGGGTGCGAAAAATAATTTGATTTTGAATTTATTGGAACAAGTGGAACTAAGTAACATGGGACAAACACTCGATAAATTTTTCTCGCCTGTGTTGAAAAAATTGACAGAACTTGATGGTCGTATGACGTCCAAAGTTGCACTTAAAGCTCGTGAGTTATTGATTCATTGTCATCTACCATCTTACGAAGAACGAATGGCACAAATGGAGCAGATCCTGAAGTCGGCCGTGATAGAAAGTCATTATGGTGAGGATGAATATGATTACCATACACCGAGCTACGATTCGCTTAAAGAGTTGATCGATACACGGTTTGCAGTATTCGACGTACTACCGAATTTCTTTTATTATGATGATAATTGGATTCGATTGGCCGCATTAGAAGTGTATGCACGTAGAGCATATCGTGCATATCAAGTTCTAGACATTGAATATTATACGGATCAAGTGCCCTTTATGATCTCTTGGAAATTCACTCTACACACTACTACACCCAGTACACCAACTAACACGACTGCATCCACGTCCAATTTTAATTATGATTTCAATTTTAATATGAAACGAGTTGGTTCGGTTTCCGATATGAGCTATATGATTCCATGTACAGAGTCGGAACCGATTCGTGTTGGAGCAATGATGTCGTGTGTGTCTGATGAAGAAATTGTGGCTAATTTACCAAGAATCCTCGAGAAATTTCCAAAATTAAATCGAACACATACAAACAATAACACTATTAAAAACAGCAACGACGATGATGGGGAAGTATCAGAGGGGAGTGGTGATATTAATAATGTATTAAATATAGTATTACGACTAGAGGATCCTTTTGAAGATGAAGCATTAAAACAAAAACTTGAATCTATAATCCAAAAAAATTCTGTAAAATTCCGAGAATGTAGAATACGACGTGTGACTATTATACTATTTCGCAATAGACAATATCCAGGATACTTTACTTTCCGAGAATCAACCGGATTTACTGAAGACCCTACAATACGCCACATTGAACCAGCTATGGCCTATCAACTAGAGTTATCAAGATTATCAAATTTCGACATCAAGCCATGTTTTACGTCGAATCGACAAATACACATATACTATGCAGTCGGAAAAGAAAACCCGTCCGATTGCCGCTTCTTTATTCGGGCGTTAGTGCGTCCAGGCAGAATACGTAGTAGTGTTCGTACAGCTGATTATCTTATCTCAGAATCTGATCGTTTACTGAATGAGATTTTGGATGCGCTAGAAATCGTCAGCTCGCAACACAAAAATTCGGATTGTAATCATTTGTTTCTCAACTTCATACCGACTTTTGTACTGCAGTATCAAGAAGTTGAGGATGCGCTAGCTGGATTTATTGATCGACATGGGAAAAGATTGTGGCGGCTTCGTGTAACTGGAGCAGAAGTACACTTTAAAGTTGAAGATCCTAAACGTGTCGGCTATTACCCATTACGTGTAATTATTAATAATGTGTCGGGATATGTGCTGAAAGTTGAATCATACCAAGAGGTGAAATCAGAACGGGATATTTGGATATTGAAGTCGATGGGTGCACCTGGCTCGATGCATCTACAACCAATCAGTACTCCATATGCCACAAAAGAATGGCTTCAACCACGAAGATACAAAGCACATTTACTGGGTACTACGTATGTTTATGATTTCCCAGAATTATTTCGTCAAGCTTTATTAAGTCAATGGACTCGTGCTGTGGGGACTAATAGACAACAAAAAATATCTGCTGCGTTTCATAATAATGATCGTTTACAACAACAGCAACAGGAATTAAAAATTCCCACCACTTTACTTGAAGCAAAAGAATTATTATTAGACGAAAAAGATGAACTTCAAGAAGTTGATCGTGCACCTGGCACCAATAACTGTGGCATGGTTGCGTGGATATTCACTTTATACACACCTGAATATCCGAATGGACGTCAAATCATAGTAATTGCCAACGATATCACCTACCAAATTGGTTCCTTTGGTCCTGCCGAAGATTTCTTTTTCTATAAAGCATCAGAGATGGCAAGACGATTGGGAATCCCGAGAATTTACTTGTCAGCTAATTCAGGAGCTAGAATTGGATTGGCAGAAGAGATTATTAATCATTTTAAGGTTGCTTGGGTTAATAAAGAAAATCCAACAAAAGGCGTAAAGTATTTGTATATTGATCCGAAAACATATAAACAATTGAGTAAGCAAGAATCTGTTATTACAGAAAAGATAGAAGAAGAAGGTGAAATTAGATATAAGTTAACGGATATAATTGGCGTCCAAGATGGACTTGGTGTAGAATGCTTGAAGGGATCGGGATTAATCGCAGGTGCTACTTCGCGTGCATATGAAGATATTTTCACTATTACTTTGGTTACTTGTCGATCTGTCGGAATTGGTGCATATTTGGTCAGATTAGGACAACGCACAATTCAAAATGAAGGACAACCAATCATACTTACCGGTGCACCAGCACTTAATAAAGTGCTTGGTCGTGAAGTTTACACGTCAAATCTACAACTCGGCGGTACTCAAATAATGTACAAGAATGGTGTTTCACATCTAACAGCACAAAATGATCTAGAAGGTGTCAGTAAAATAATTCAATGGTTGTCTTTTATTCCGGCACAGCGAGGGTCCCCGGTTCCAATTGTTTTGAATTCTGCAGATCACTGGGATCGTGAAATTGATTATTTACCACCGAAGGGATCATATGATCCGAGATGGTTTATCGCGGGTAAATATGAAATTGAAGGAGATGAAGATAGCTGGTTGAGTGGATTCTTTGATCGTGGATCATTTGTTGAGACTTTGGGTGGATGGGCTAAAACTGTGGCATGTATTTTGACTGATTATCAATTAACTAATCGATTCTCATTTATCATGTAAGATAACCTTACATTTTTATTATATTATTTCACTATTATTATTAGGTCGTTGGTAGAGCTCGTCTTGGTGGTGTACCAATGGGTGTGATTGCTGTAGAGACACGTAGCGTCGAGCATATAGTACCCGCTGATCCAGCTAACATTGATTCACGAGAAGAAGTGATGAATGAAGCTGGACAAGTATGGTATCCGAATTCAGCATATAAGACAGCTCAAGCGATTAACGATTTCAACAAAGGAGAAGAATTACCGCTAATTATATTCGCAAATTGGCGAGGATTTTCCGGTGGTCAACGAGATATGTTTAACGAGGTGTTAAAATACGGCTCCTATATTGTTGACGCACTATCCAATTATAAACAGCCAGTATTCATCTATATTATACATAATGGCGAACTTCGTGGTGGTGCATGGGTAGTTCTCGATCCGACAATCAACCAAGATTACATGGAAATGTACGCCGATGAAAAGTCTCGCGCTGGAGTACTAGAACCGGAAGGCATCGTCGAAATAAAATTCCGTCGTACTCTATTATTATCCACCATGGAAAGACTCGATGACACTTATTGTCAACTAAAAAGATCCGTTAATGACTCTGCAAATTTGACCGATCTCGAACGACAAGAAATAAAAACAAGATTAGATTCACGAGAACAAGAACTATTACCTATTTATTCACAGATTGCGTTACAGTTTGCCGAGTTACATGATACCCCAGGACGAATGAAAGCAAAAGGTGTAATTCGCAAATCGTTAGATTTTCGACAAAGTCGACGATTCTTCTATTGGCGTGTTAGACGACGGTTACATGAAGAATACATGTTTAGGTTATTAGCGGAGGCGAATCCTCTACTTTCACGTGATGAGATGCGGCAGTTGTTGATCGAGTGGTTTTATAAAGATGTTTCTGAACAGGATTGCGCATGGGATTGGGAAGAGGACGATGAACAGATTGTCAAGTGGTTTGAGAAATTGACTGCCAGAGGATCATCTAATAGTAATATTGTTAAAAATAAAGCTAGTGAAATTACAACTGTTGATTCTTCTCTTAAAGAAGACAAAGAGGAGAAAACAGAAATAACAACGACTAACACAAAATTAGCTATATCGTCATCAATAACATCGACTTTACTTGAATTGCGTCTCGAAGAACTTCGTAAAAAAAGAATAAAACAAAATATCATCGAGATGTCACGTACAAATCAATCTGCCGTGTTGGAGGGTGTTGTTGAAGCTATGTTTGAAGATTTGAGCATGGAGGAACGGAAGCAATTATTGAGTAATTTGACGCAGACGATTAATTTGAGACCATCTGATTCTGACGCATCTTCCTCCTCTTCATCTTCGACACAAAAAATGAAAAATAATGAAAAATGACTTTTAGTATTAATTTTCCTCTTCCTCATTATCTTCTTTGCAAGAGTTTTTTGGGTGGGTTAAGTAGATAGAAGTATAATTTTAATAGACTTTATTTTTACACGATAAATTTTTATAATTTTTTAATTTTATAATAAACTTACAAGTTTCATATCTTTTATTAGCATAAATCCTGTATACCTTGATTAAATCGTGATATCCAGAATTAATCGTACGATTTAAAATGAAAATTACGTTTTTACAAAAAGCACAAAGTATTTACGGTTAATCATCCCTTCAAATATTGAACTATCATCAATATATATTGTCCTCAAAAGAATAGGGAAAACCTTTAGAAGAGAATCATCCCATGTTTATCAGTTCCGCAACCGATATATCTAATTGATATTTCCAAGTTACTATAAGAACCAGATGACTGTGTCAACTAAATGTAGGACAAGCTAATGTTAAGAGAATAAATCTTCACCCATTTTTAATGTTAATCTCTCTATAATGTCGGGAAAGTTACCCTTTGGTATAAAATCATTTAATTAATAAAGCATTTAAACGGAAAGATTAATAATTTTTGTAACACAATAGCGGATTCGGCCTATTTTCGGAGCTATTAATAACATTATATAAATTTTGTCTGTTATAACGGATCCCTTGAAATTGAATCCAATATGAATAAATAAAGTTAGTCTTTACTATGCATATCGTATCCCATATAGGTTCAAGTC